TTTTAGTTTCAGTGAAATATGATGCTTTTAAGGTGCGTTTTATGGAAATTACTGTAAACTGTTATATTCTAGTTTTAGTTTAAATATTCGAAATTTTTTTCATGTAGTCTTCATTTCTTTGCAATTTATTACAAAATAATAATAAATAAATGATTTAAATATGTGAATATAACCAAATATTCGAAGTAAAATTCAGATCGTTTTAATGTCTTACCTCCTTTTGTACATGCAGGGAGGGGCAGTGAAAAAGTAATACCGTTAAAATATGTGCTCTTTGAAATGTAAGAATTTAAATGTATTTCTAACGATGAATATTTAAAATATAATGGTCGAGAACATAAAATAGCTAGAACAAAGGACTGAGCGTATTCGTACAAGACGTCTTTTCTTTTGTATATGTTAGAAAAATAAAATCGTAGCTAAACTTTTGCACGTCAATATAGATAGATGCTGTTTAAATAATGGGGAGGTACGAAACGAGATTATTGATTTACATACTGATTTGAAGACAACCAGGCCACGCCGCTATGGTTTATCTTATCTTATGAAGAATTCCTCTAAACTCAAAAATTCTTTAATGAAATATCGTCTGTATGTATAGAACGTAATGTAGAAAAACGCGTTAGGTAGACGAAATTATATCCTGTTATTCTGACATCTTTTATGTTTGAACTTATTATTAAATTTTATAAAATTATTTTACTGCTTTGTACAGAATATGTTTGTTGACTTTTTTCAATTCGTGTTTTTTATGCCTGACTTTTTTAAAATTCTAGACCACAACTGATTACAAATATAATATTGTGAAGAAAGATATTTTCACTTTGATTGTTGGTAATTGTTCGTATTATTGCATTTCAATGCGTTAGAATTCCAATTCTGGAAAAGTTATATATCGTTGGAACGTGCTATTTATACAGTGCCAAAACATGATTGCGATTATTATATTTCAATTATATGCAATACTTCTAAAGAAAGGGAAAATAATATAACAGAAAAATTAAAAGTACATACAGCCAATTGGAGATTTGCTCGTAAAAGATTAGTATATTTATTTACTAAAATTATAACAGAATTTTATCACTCATATAATTGTTTATATTAAATAATTATAAATAATATTTAAAGACTTTAAAAATTAGCATAATATTACATAGAAATGCAAGTGTAATAACTTGTTTGTTTTAAATATTTTTTATATTAATATATACTTTGAATAATTAACTATTTGAATGTGTTCAATAATTATTGTATATATCAGCATTATTTATTTATATTTATTAAATTCAGATATGTGCAGCATTACAGCGATATCGTTAAAAAAATATCTAAATAAAAAGTAGTTAAATGTATTCTTTTTGAATGTCAAGAACATTTGCAATTAATAGAAAATAAAATAATCTGCTATGAAAAATTCGATGGCGTTCTCTTGTATCTATTGGTTGAGTATTTTATACATGAATTATGTATTGTACTATTCAATTTTGTTTTAAAAGTGTAAATATTTGGAATTGAAATTAATTTTAAAGGATATTTTTGTACAAATGCAGCTTTATTGTACAAAAATGACAAAGTAATAATTTATTCAAAGCATTGTCCATCACTAGCCACTACTCTTTCTTATCTTTCTGACTATAGTCGCAATCCACGTCGAAAGACCGACTCGTCTTTTGAGGCTATCCACGATTCGACCGATTTTTTGGTATTCTCATAAAAGTGGAAGCACTGCTCAAACAAGCCATGCGTCATTGATCGAAACAGGTCGTAATCAGAAGGATCATTATCTGGCAAATACGACGGATGGAGTAGCACATCCCATCCAAGCGCTTCAAATAAGAATAATGTATTATCATTTTGAAGATGTCGAGTAAATAATATTCGATAGTTGTGATTAACGAAAGTACACACCAACACGTTCACGCATATACGCAAGAGAGGTGTTAGCACTTGTATACAAGGCGTCTTACTTATATAGAACACTTAAATTATTCTGTTGTTATTGAAAATGAAAAGTGATTAAAATAAGCCTAGTGGATGTGCTTCTGCGAAATAATAAATTGTTAAATTATTTATAAATCAAAACTTTTATTGTGTCGCGTACGTATTTGGTCACGTTTCAAGACGACATACTGTAATTTTTATGGAATTTTCTATATTTACTCTCCTATATTTACTTATTCTATATTTTTCGATGTATATTCAATTTCAAAGTCTGTTACAATTTATGTCCATATTCATCTGGAATGAATTAAAAGTTTTTTAAAGAAAATGTCGTTCATGCAAAGTAGACAGTCATTAAATTTGAAACTTCTTTAAGTGATAAAGAAAAACCTATTTTCTGAATGGGTGCAATTCTAATTCACTCTTTAAAACTCTTTCAAGTAGGCGGAAGAAAAGAGTCCCATGGTGGAATAAGGAACGCAAACAAGCTATCAAAAATTATCATTACTGTGAATAAGTAACACGCCTAAGCAGTGCAATTACAAAAACACGTCCTGATATGGTTAATAGAAAGGGTGCAATACTGCAGCAGGACAATGCGAGGTCGTATATTGCAAAAGTCACGCAGCAAAAAATCAGAGAACTTGACTGGGAAACTTCGGTACATCCGTCGCACTCTCCTGTCTTAGCCCCACCCAATTTTCATTTAGATCTCCATAGCAATTTTTAGATAGTAAAAAATGTTTCAGTTACAAAAATGTCAAAAACTGAATACAAAAGTATTCTAATGGAAAATGAAGGGATTGTTATAAAAGGGGCATACAAAAGCTCGCTTCCAGATGACAAAATGTCGTAGGCAATGAGATTATCTCATTGATTGAATGTTTCATGTACGATTTATAAAATTTAAATAATCTTTATATTTAAGAAACTATATTACTTTCCGGAACCTTTAATATGTCAGTTTTATATAATAGAATTTTACTGTTAACATTAAATGTACCACGACCGGTCATGTGATCGGTATTTTTAATTAAAATTTGATGTAAAGTTCTGCATTTTCTTTCGACAACCTTATATTGTTCGTTCTTACATTGTTCGATTAGTTTTTCAAGTTTTGTCTTTTTTTCATTTATATTTCCACTAAGAAAAATTTATTGTTTTACTCGTTTACCTCTATTTTATAACCAATTATTTGACTAGTTATGGATGGAATAGGTTTATATAAAGTGCCGATACGGTTAGTGTTAATGTTGATGTGAGTTCAATGAAGTAGATATTATGACTTTAACCCCTTGGCTATTGTTGGCGCCTAAAGACACTTTAAAAACTTGATTTTGGTATACTGTTAACGCCTATAGGCGCCCGTAAAATGTTATTCACAATAATTGCAACAAAGTTCGCTTAACATTCCGTTAGTTATATATTATATAAATGTAATTGTTTCATATTTCATTTAATTTAGTTCAATTCAGTGTTTCCATGGTTTCAAGACACTTTCTTAGAAATACGCGTTGATACAAAATTCTGTCGTAGCCAAAGAGTCAAACAGTCACATATTAACGATGTATCCTAAAATTTATCGGTTATAAGGAAGTTGCTCTAACAGTGAATGACGAGAAGGAATAAGTATAGATAAATGTGTTGACATCAGCAGTGCGAACTTTGCATATTCATTAAAATAAAGTGACTAAATATTCTTCTCTTATTTTGTAATTGTTATAATTTAAATTTATTTTTCATTCTACACAATCACCTTAAGGTACTGAAATGATATCTATAGTAATATGAACTTGGTGGATAAGTAAATATTAAATATCAATTAGTAATATTAAGTACTGGTTTAGAAGTTTTCTACTTGTTATAAATTTCTGTGTTATACACAGAATGAACTATAGAATGAACTTTACTGTTTTATCATCTAAAACTATCATCTAAAATACGTAGATTCACAGTTTGTATTTGAAAATAACTTCTATATTTAAGGAAAAAGTTGATTATTAAATCTAGAACAAACTACTGGCAACGACTTAAGTACTGAAAAATGAATAACAATATGAAATGATGAAGTTTTACAGTCAACTTTTTACAATACTATTTTCAAGTTGTTTTGTATTTTTTAGAGACGTATGCCGCCACCAATGTACAAACGGGAAACAAGATTTAAAGGACAAAAAAGAGTCTCTGTTGGACGTACTTCTAGGAACACTGAACCACAAGAGTATAGGTCGAAAGAACGTTTAGTTCAAAAGGAAGACACTTCTAGAGAGGACATGTACGAGGACACGTCAAACACAGTTAAATCTGAACCAAGCTTTAATAACGGATCTACTGACCCTACAGTACCGGATATACAGATGAACGATGACTTACAAGAACGAGATGAGAGTATGGTACGAAAAGATAAATATAATTGAAATTATTTTTATGCTTAATGTCACATATATGCTATTAATTATTAATTACAAGCATATGTAAACAAACGCTCAAGGAATATTGAAACAGTTAATTTACGAAAATCAAATGAAAATCGTTTGGATATTTGAATCTGTTTCGATAGAATAAATAATTTTGTACAATATATCTTAATATATTCAGTATATAAAATATTTATAACTAACTTGAAAACATTATGCTGTAATGAATATTTAATTCAATACATCCTGATTGCGCCATTATAAAGACATAGTTGTAATATAATTATTTTTAAATTATATAGATTGTTTGACTACATATAGTAGATATTTAGGGGCTTATTGAAAGAAATGTCGTTTTTTATGCTAACTTCTAGTGTAAAAAATTAATACTTACGACTTTTTAGTCATTGATGTATTTATCATCGTTGTGTATAACCTTCCCTCATTTTTCGATTAACTTTTTAATACTATTTTTGAAATGGCATTAAAAAATATTTTATAGTGTAGAATAAGAAACGACATTATATATAGAATCTCCCTTTAAAATCTCTACCACGTATCGTCGATAATATCATGTATAATACTTTGAAGACTACTGTAATCAGTACAAAATTTAATTCTTATTCAAATAATGAACTGAAAATATATAATACAATATATATTATTGCAACATTTCATTCGGAAACTCGTTAGGCAAATAGTTACGAGATTGATATTGGGTTTTTATTTCCCAAGTGTGTATATAACACTTTTCTTGTACTCACTTGTATTTATATACATTGATAAGATTCCTATTTACATTCTAACGAGTCTTTTACTTTACGAGTGTATTATCAATATGGGTTAATGAGAAACATGTTTTTCCTTCCCGAAAGATTGCACTTCGCAGTATTATAAATCGAAAACATTATTTACTATTTAATACCGTTTAATAATATGATTTATAATTAATGCAGTTACACACATTAAGTAATGATTGTATAGACGTGAACAAATAAAATAAAAGTTCCATATTTATCTGTATTAGGTGGAAACTCAGTTCATGTATAACTGTTTATATGTTTATGTAACTTTTAAAATCCCCAAAGTTGTTTTTTAAAAAATGAATTCATCCACTAAAAAAATTGTTCTGTATGTAATATTAAATTTTTAAATAACGATTACAATTTTATAATGTTATCGACATGAAAATTGAGTTTTTTTCTCAGAGTTGATTTTTACATTCTAGGAACGAATCTGAATCAACATTAATTGTAAATAGAATAATACGATAACAGAAACATGGAAAAAAATTATTTGTTACAATTAGGTTTTATGCACACGAGTGATACGATTCCGTCACGATGTCGCATTGTTTTGGAGAAACAAAATTCTTTTGTCTCACAAAGAGAAAGATAAGAGAACTTTACTTACGTCTCTATTCTTCCAAAAACCTCACAGCCTCACGCTGTGTGAATCGGGACGATCGTGTGCATGTAGCTTTAAACTCTGTATGTTTTGTCGATTAATTGGACCTCTTGATTTGTTTGATCGTTTTTCAAATATTAATCCAGTGATCGAAATACACATATTTATTATAAATGATTTGTCTTTCATATATGTGTAATATTAAATTCAGGTGTTACATGGTTATTCAAATATCATATTAACCGTTCTCCAATATTTATGAATTAATTAATGTAATTTAGCTACATAATTATTTATTGCAAAAGCTCCAAAGTAATTTATTCAACTATAAATATTTGATTTGAAATTTACTATATTAAACTCTAATATCATTTATTACACACTCCGTTCATTACGAAATCAACATGCTGTAGGAGAAAGACAACTTCATTGATGTAAACAATATTTGAATTAAACAACTTCTAACAAATTATTCGTACAGCGCACAATAACACAATGACTTAAAATCAATTCTGACGCGCAATATATGTATTCGGATACATCCATCTCACTTGTACACTTTCTAAAACACTCTGTCGTCACTATGCATTAATTTTAAGTACATTTGGAATATTCTAGATTCATTTGACATGAGTGTGAAGATTAATATTTTAGGATATCAATAACCTAGAATATTCCAACATCTTAACACTTTTTCTACCGAAGGTGTCAAAAGGCATTTTTTAAAATTTTAACTGAAAATTATTTTTCCAATTTAATCCGCTTGCCTCAATTGAATTTTGAACATTTCCTATAGTTAATTTTACAATCGTTATTGGAAAATTCGATAGAAATAGTGTTAAACAGTTATTA